AAGGATTGTCCTCTTCCCTTTCCATTCTTGGTTGGAAGCTGGTATACAGAGTACCCAAGAATCACTTTCTGCTTCTTAGCTCAAGACTATACTGAAATACTCGAGCCACAGGCATCTTCCTGAGCCAGAGGCATCTTAGGTGGTCCCCCCTTTCTGTCTTTCAACTCAGACAATTTGAGTGGTTAGGTCCAAACCTACACCCATTCTCAGTGCAGAATTCTAACTGCTGAAGCAGCTTCTAGCCTGTAGAAAAGCTCAAGACAGAAATATACATTACATTCCTCCTTAAATTAGAACTAGGAACTGCAGAACTGATCCCCACATCCTTCTCAGATTCCCGTTTCATAGATGAAGAAATGAATGGTCAGAGACAAGAAATGGCTTGTCCATGGTCAGTGAGTCAGGGATAGTATTTCAGAAAGAACTTGTATCTTGTGATTTCCAGGTCTTTCAAACTCATCTTGTATATAAACTCTTTGTAATTTAGAACTAAATCTTTTGATTTCTATTCTGCTACACTTTCTATTACATAACAGCTGGGGGCTTCCATTTCTGGAAAGCACAGTTTTGAGATGGAGTTAGAATTGTTTCAAGTCCCTACCCCATGAAAAAAGCAGTGTGACTATAAGCAGGTAGCTTAATCTTCTTAAGTGTTAGTTTCCTCATCTGAAAAGGAGGATAGTGATAATAATTTTTCAAAGGACTGTTGTTTTAATTGAGATTATACATACAAATTATGAGGCATAGTTCCTGGCATATGCCAAATAGGCAACACATTGAACCTTCGATTGCTATCTTTATTCCAGAAGATGTAGTTTTAAAGAAATATAACACAGGCTAGATATATAAACTGTTTGGAAAGATAGACCAAGTTTACATGAATGCTATGATATAGAGACCATAGGAGGTCAATAATGAGTAATCAAGGACCTCAAAAAAGGTTTCCTGGAAGAAGCAAAATATGATGGTTCCATAGCACAAAAAGCTCTCTTCCTCTTTCCTCCTAACGTACTTTTATATTTCTCATTTGACCTTCACATTGTTATGGGGCAAGAATCTTATATCTTAATTAAAAGATAGAAAAACAGACCTCAAAAAAATGGAGTGACTTGCTTACAGATTTCAGATAGGTTTTAATTGACCTATCATGATATTAATTATATAGCAACACTAAAATTATGCATGCTAGGGGTATATTTAAACATTTAAGCTTAAGTCATAGGGTACTTAGCCTCCTTATGTATATATTGATATTTTTAAGATAATAACTTCATAACCTGTAACTAAATTTTAGTGTCTGTTGTGCTCCAAAATTGATATACATTTACCATTTATATCACTTTCTGAGGAGGAATACTGAGGAGATCATATCAACTAGAAATGCTAGCATTTTCATTTCTCATTGCCAGAAATGCAAACCTAAGGCAGATAAATTATGTTAGACATTTGTAAAAGAATGATGACCAAATATAGAAAAAGTTTTCTTTTTTAAAAGGGTTTGCAAAAGTTAAAACAACCCCTCAGAATAGACAAATAATCCCATCCCATTTACATTTATAACTAGAAACATAAAATTAATTTGAGATGGTTTTAAGAACTGATGATTAAATACTAATGATGGTCAAAGTTAAAAAACAATCAGAAATGGACAAAATAACCACATCTCAGATGATGTGTTAAAGTTTTAGTATCAAAAAAATGTAAATTGAAAGTTTTAGGTTGGTAACAAGCTCTCATCACTGCACTAAATGCAAAGATCTTGAGCTAGAGAGTGACTCTGGATCTAAGAATTCTCTGCTGATGTTGACAAGACTGGAAAAGGGAGATGCTAGAGGCGGGAGAGTAAGTCTGAGGCTGCTTCACCATCATCTGGCAGCAGCAGAGATGAAAAAAGGGTGACGTGGAAGCTTTGGGGTGAGGAGAATCGAGAGGGCTTAAGGTAGGCAGTGAAAGAGGGCAGGAAGTTCAAGTGATAGCATAAGCCTTTTCAGATGGTTTTAGGAGCAGCTTAAAGGAACAACTTGACAAAAATGTCCTACTTTTAGACGAACCATGAAATAAGTTCTATCGTCTGGCAAAGCCTTCAGAGGTTCTACTTTTGAAAGAAACCTATTCTACCAAGGTTCTTGAGAAAAGACCCCTTGTTTAACATTAATTTTGACTTTACTTGGAGAAAATATAGTTTTATCACAGCAATTTTTCAGTGGAAAAATATAATCATTTTAGTAGCGGTTGAACCTGTCCCTGCTTGTCCACCAAGGGAGTGACTTGGGTTTCTATTTTCCTATCTGAAAACATGGGGTAAAAACCCTTGCCTCAGAGAGCTGCTGGCAGGCTGCTATGAGATGATACAGGAGCCACTCACAGGCAGTTGGAAAAAGGAGAGTTGTTAAAGGTTCTCAAACAATCAGAGATGGTGCTAATGGATAAGAAGGAGATTGGTGGGTGAAAGTTACAGAGAAACAGATTTTGCCCCAGGGTAAAGAAGAGCCTTCTGGTATCCAGAATTTTCAGAAATTGGAGTGGGTCATCTGGAAAAAGAGCAAGCTTTCAGGCACTGAGGGTGTTTCAGCCAAATTATGTGATAGAGAAGAGACTTTTCATCAAGCCATGGCACACATAATAGATGATGGCCTCATCTTCATGTGCTTACCTAACCAAAGTTACATGCAGTGATTTGCCGCCATTCCATTTCTTCTACTAAAGAGATCATAGCATTACTTCAGTAGATGAGAATGTTAGTGATTAACCACTATTAGTAATGGGTTAATATTTAGTAACTGTTTAGACTGGGCACATATGTACTCTATATATGGTTTCGCATTCAATCAGCAGGAAGATGCTATTAGGCCAAATTTGTAACTGGTTTGAAATAGGCTCAGAGAACTAAAACAATTGCTCATGACTTCCTGGCTAGTTAGTGATGTAGACAGGGCAGAAACACATGCTTGCTTGCCTCTATGCTGGTGTTTATTGAAGGTAAGAAGAAAGAGGGGAGGAGAGAGGGCAAGGTGGAGAGGGAGTAAGAAAAACATTCACACATATTAGTCAACCACCTTAAATATTACCAGCCACAAATCATTTGTGACACACATCACACGTGAAAACCACAACATATAGAAGTACTTTTCACACTCTCATGCTTTTCCACAGAAGCACCCGATCTACTTAGACAGTGACCATATGCCTCCAGCAGCCTGGAATATAGCCTGAAGCAAATATTTTATTTTATTCATAATATAATCATTTTTTAAAAATATAAAGCATGCCTCCATATTTCAGAGCAAAATGAATGTATAATAGATGCATACCATACTTATCTTGTGTCTTCATATATCCCCTGGGAATACCACTCTCTTCCCTATTGCACTCCAGTTTTAGAAGCATCACAGTCATTAGTTTAGAGGTGGACAAAATAATCAATAATCTAAAAGAAAGTATAAAGCCCATCATTCTGTCAACAAATTAACATCATGGAGGTCTACAAGACTAGCATCATTTATACATACAATAGCTCTAGATCTTTGTGCATTTATCGATTTAGCTTTTGTTAACAAAACACTAACTTTCCAAGGACTTCTGGTATACCCCCAATATTAGTAGCTCCAGTGCTGCTATAACAAGCTCCAGCCTTCTCAGGAAAGTTATCTTTTTTTACCAAAGTCCTTCAGTGCTCATAAACTCCAACTCATTGTTGCATTGAGAGTCAGAAGACATTCTGTCTATTGCCCCTGCACCTGTTATCTTTTTGGCCTTATCCAAACAACCTCAGCCCTAACAGCAGCTGAAATAACAGATGGGCAGGAGAACTTGAGACTTTTTTGACATCATCCTTTTGTTTATGAAATCCCCCCAGCTCTGGAATCTAATAGGAATTTTCTTCATTATAATTTTATGTTTTTTCCCATGGTACTTTTTTATTATCAAAAAATAAATAATTGGTGCAGAGAGAGATGAAAGAAAGAAATAACATCCCTATCTGAAAATGGTCAAAAAGGAAATGGGGTGGAGATTTGGTCAATGGGGAATTGACATAAACATATATTCTCTTAGGAGGATAATTGGCAGTATCTGTGTTCATTTGGTGGTGTGTGAAGAAGTTAGAACAAGTTCTAGGAGATATTGAGGTCAGAGGAGAGACGCAATCTAGGCAAGTTGGAACTCTGACAAGAATTAGCCCCCTGGAATTGTGATTCCAGGACATGACCCCACTTTGCAAGGGATGAGGTTATTGAAACAAAACGAAAGTAGGGATTATATAGGCAGAATAGAATATTACTTAATAGCATGGGATTGTAAGCAAGTTACTTAACCTTTCTATGCCTCAGATTCATCATCTGTAAAATCCACCTTAAAATACTAGCAGCCATGTAAGGCCGTTTTGATTCTCAAATAAGCAGTACATAACAAGTGTTTGGCCTAGGGTCCTGTGTTCTATTAGTGGATGCAACTATTATTATTTTTGTCAAGAATGAAAGACATAGGGAGAAACAAGCGACATGGAGGTGGAGAATCACTGTACATAGAGCACAAGGAAAAGGCTTGTTCCCATGAAAACGAATTTCTGCTCAGGTCTTAAAATGATCAGATATTGCCTGGATTATCTCATGTAGTACTTTCCCACTTCTAGGCTTTTGCTTATCATATTTATTTTTTCCTGAGTGGCTTTCTCCCAAACACCTTTGTTACGAGTCACATACCATCTGATACTTTTCCACCAGGGTGGTTGTAAAGGTTAAATTAAAGATTAAAAAAAAAAAACTCCTAGTAATATATGTGATTATCAGTTAATTGATGCTAATTACTGCTGTGTATTTTAGTGTAGTTTATTATGCTTTCGAAAGTGCCTTAGCCGTAGTAGACAATACAAATTATTAGACAACTAAATGTGCATTTGATTTCAAAAATAAGCAAGATTGATAGAATGTACTCAAGGGGATCTCCTTGTCTGCCCCCAGTGCTCTATTTGTATAGCTGTTTGTCTTCTTTATATTTTCCAGGGATCTAAATCTTGGCAGTGTGTACCAGTATCGGGTCATAACAATTTCAGGAACTGAAGAGAGTGAGCCATCCCCTGCAGTCATATACATCCATGGAAGCGGGTACTGTGGTGATGGCATTATCCAGAAGTAAGTAGATCTTACTAAAGAAAGAGAAGGAAGTGGGATTATAATTAGACCAAGAAATGGTCAGAGTGCTGAATAGAAGAGCTTATAAAATACTCTTCAGTATATGAGTTGTGAGTTATCCGCGATTCCCAGCAGTTAGGATTTATCAATTGGTCTTCCAACAATTTTCTGGCCTCCAACACAAAGCGATGACTCTTTTTTATACACATACATTTCTAAAGCATGTATACAATATATGATGTAGACAGAGCTACCATTATTCTCTTATCATTTGCTCTTGTTCTTAATTGTTTGATGTGTGCTATGAGAATTCTATTGGTCTTTTCCATCATAGCCTACATTCAGTGAACAGGACACAGTTAATCTAGGCTAAAATACATTTACATTCTTTGCTCATTACCTTCTACATATGTGAAAACTGCATATTTATTTGCTCATTATCTTCTACATATGTGAAAACTGCATATTTATTTCTATACTATTGTGTTGTATCTACAATTTACAGAATGGATCAAGGGCTCAAAATATTAGCAAGGTATTCCAATTCACTATAATGTTTAAATCATAAATAGTAAACAGTGAATGTTGAATGTGGATATAGATACAAATGTGAATGTGAATACACTGAGGCAAATGAATCATTAAGTGTAAAGATTTCAGCCAAAAAAGAAAATTATGATTAGAAAATATAAAGATGCATGTCTAAAAGTGAATTTTATCAGATTATCCGTCTATTCATCCTTTTTTCCCAGGACATAATGTTATGCAACTGCCAGATAGAGGCAAGAAGCCATGGAGACTTTTGCATTGTTTAAAAGTTCATAAATAAACTTTTAAGTCCTGTTCCTCCAAAATAAGCACACAAATTTCTGGCACAAAAATTCAGAGTTTGTCTCTAGTGGTGGAGGACTGACCAATAATCATTCATAATTAAGTCCCTCATTACTAAAATCACATTTCTTATTACTAAAGTGTTTATTTGCAAGTCACACGATTGCTAAAAGACTTTTAAACTATTGACAGATTTAATGATAGTCATTATGTATGGAGATGACAAAACAAGCTATTGGCAAAATTCCTTCATTAACTAGCACTGTTGGGTGTCACATAATATCTGTGCAATGTGGGATTGCAATAACTATTTCTATAGGGGGAAGGGTGGTACAAAAAGAGAATTTGCATTGCAGTTGGATGAAACCACTCATGTGCAGAACATGAATCAGCTCGTAGGTGTAGTTCACTTATGAAAAAGAAGTGCTAAATTATTCCTTCTGTTCATTAACACTAATGCTAGAGAATAAGAATACTTTAATTTGTTATGATTATTTTGTGGTATATAATATAAATTGGAAACTTCTGCTTTAGGATGAGGAGTCCAGCTAGCAGTATAGTAAAAACTATGAAGTAATGCAAGTAAAAAGAGTTAACACATGAATACCCATCCACATAGATATCAGTTATTAGCCCACAGTAGCATTAAAAGACATAGGAGGCTGGGTATGGTGGCTCACGCCTATAATCTCAGCACTTTGGAATGGGATGCTGAGACAGGAGGAATGCTTGAGCCCAGGAATTCTAGACCAGCTTGGGCAACATAATAAGACCATGTCTCTTTAAAAAAAAAAACAACCAAAAAATTAGCTGGGTATAGTGGTACATGTCTGTTGAGGTGCGAGGATCACCTGAGCCCACAAGGTTAAGGCTGCAGTGAACTGTGATTGGGCCACTGCACCCCAGCCTGGGTGACAGTGTGAGACCCAAACTCAAAAAAAAAAAAAGAAAGAAAAAGACATAGGAAAGTTGCAAATGTGAGCAGATGAAAATCAGTGAGTTACAACTTTTAAACTTTCTGTGCAAAAAAAGTGTATAAGAGATTCTGTTATCCCCCCCATCTTCTGCAAAGTATGCTGTCAATAGAAAAGTACTAAATCAAGTTTTTAAAATAAGGAATGAAATTTTCAAAAATGACATTGATAAGGCAGGAAACTATTACTTGGATGGTTTCAAGTGGCTTGCTGGAACAGTATATCTGTATATTTATGTCTTAAATGTCCTGGACCTATAATTTCATATATTAATTATAATAATTTTAATACTGAGGAGATAATGTAAGGAATTTTAAGCGCTATATTATTATATAAATTAGCTGATTGCCAAAAATTTGACTCCTCAAGCATAGAATATAAAAGTTCTCGTTCAAGAATGAAATCAACAATGTATTGTATTAAATATATTATGTGTATTTAAGATCCACATGCCAATGCAGCAACAGAACAAGAAGATATAGTTTCTAATGCAGTAAAATTATTCTTTCCCACATTAAGACATCAACTTCCAGCTTTTGATAGAGCAGTTGTCTGATGGAACACTGAATAACTAAGTAGAGTGATTCTCATGGAGAAAGTGCCCCATCATTTGTGGGTCCAAGATTGAGCTACATTTCCAAAATGTCCAGAAAACACTTTTGGTCATGGCTGACAACCCAAAATTATGATTTTGGATTTTCTAATTTAGCACAATTTTTTTAAGTCACCAGATTTGTTGCCTGGTCTATAGCTCCATCTATCCATTGTAGAGACAGAAATAGATGCATTGGTAAAACACTGCAAACAATATCATTCTTCTTGATGATCTAAAACTATTATTATCACTATTACTATTAATTTTAAGTAGCACTTTCAATTTATACAGGGTTTTTTTTAGTATTTTTATATAGAATTGGTATTCTGCATAGACATCAAATACTCGTTGGGTTACCTGCAAATACCAACTATTTGTTGACATCCTTTGTAGAAAACTAAATGCAGTTGTGGATATTTTTCTAAGGGGAGGAATGGTGAAAAGGAGGGGTATCATCTTAGCTAATAGGATTTTTCATGGAATGATACGTGTTAATTTGCTCTATTTGTAAGATAATTTACAAAGAAATATGGATAGTCTCAGCCTTCAGCAAAGGCTTTAATAGATGAGTGCTCAGTTGTAAATGATCCACAGAAGCAGATTCTCCCCATTTCGTCTATAGCATAAAGAAGGCAGTGGGTGAATATTATGATAATGATGTTGATGAATATTTCTTGAGCCTCTTCTATGCACAAGACACTGTGTTCTCCAACAACAATAGGTGGTAATATGCAAAGAGATTAAAGAGGTTTTCTCAAGTTTGTATAACCAGTAAGAAGTAAAACCAATATGCAAATGAGGGCCAGGTTCTCATCTGGATTCACCCTTGCTTTACCCTGGGACGTGACAATTCTGCAAAACTAACAAGTCAAGGAGTGGCTGCTTATTGTCTGCTCTATCCCCAGGCACTGTGCTGGGAACTGGCAAAGATTTGTCACTTCCTTTGGCATATTGTAGCCTAGTGTGAAGGACTCTCAAGAAATAGGCAAAGGTCGTCAGTTTGACAAGTGCTGTGATAGATGGATCAAGATGTCTATGGACACGGAGAAGAATGGCCACCCGCTTCAGCCCAAGAGGTCAAAGAACGCTTCTCAGAACCTCTTTATCTAATGATAGATTTGTCATGCCTAGCAGATAGTTGTGATGACACCAATGTTTTGCTTAAACCAACAGATCATACTATTTGAGTGGTGATGGAAGTCAGGTTGGAAATATTCTTTGTGGTCTAGGGAACCAGCCAAGGTGTTTTTTTGTTTGTTTTTGTTTTTTCTTAAGTCTCTTTCCAGACAATCCATGAAATATCTTAGAAGCACAGCAGTTTCTAGCTAGCAAGATTCACTGGCAGAGAATGCTGGAACCAGCTTGAAATATGGACTTCTTTTTTGTTCTGTGTTTGCAGACAGGAGAGAACTTGGGTGGCTCTTTGGAGATCAATGCAGTGTCCTAACCATCTTAAGGATTGATTGTGAGACACTATCCTGCTACTCTCACACCTCCTAAAAGCAACAAACACTGCCCAGTGTTAATTGCCTGGATGAAAGTCTAAGGCCTCTTCCTTGCTGTTACAGGTTCCAGCTGGTCTCTGGGAAGGGAAGGGCAGCTGTCACACACTCTGCAGAGACCTCCTAACACAAAGTGTGATTCCCTGAGTGTCTACTATGTGTTACACACTGTGCCAGCCACTTTAAATTATGTTCTATTCTTGCACCGAACTCTGAGAAGTAGGTCTAATTATTTCCAGTCAAGGAAATGAGAAAACTGAGGATCAGCCTCTATAGGAACACTATTCTCTGGATTTTTCTGCAATGATGAGAATGTATTCTGTGCAGTCTGATATACAAGCCACTAGCTACATGGGCTTATCGAACACTTGCAATGTGGCTACTGTAACTGAGGGATGGAATTTTAATTATGTTTCATTTCAATTGATTTAAATCATCACAGACAGAAAGATCAGATAAAGAGGTCAGGTGACTAATCCAAGACCACACATCTAGTTTGAAGCACAGGGTTCTAAACCCAAGTGTTTTCTTTTTTTAAAGGATGGAAATTTTCCAGAAAGCAATAGTGCATCCAAACTTGCAGGTTTTGCTCCTCCTTCTCCTCACCTAAAGTCAATTCTAAGGACACTGCTCATCTTCTGCTCATCCCAAACTTTACAAAATCATCCTTAGGTGATGGAAATAATTTCAACAGAAACAAGTGGAGACATTTTTATGTCTTAATAGCACAGTCCCACAGGCCTAAGAGTTCTTGACACCATGAAATTACACATCCAATGGAGAAAGCAAAACTTTCCAGTGACAAGATGAGTCACCTTGAGCATGTGGATGGAAAAAAATTCTTTACCTTTTTGTTTACTGGGGAAGTAGGGAGTTTATCAAGGCAAAGAGTAGTGAAGAAGCAGCATTTATATTATAGGACCTCTAAGTTTTCCTTCAAATCTGCCCTTTTAAAATTAGGTACATGAAAATGGCAGTAAGTTTTCCTAGACACTGTGGAAACAAGATCTGTTCATTAATTTGTTCATTTCTTACTCCCACCTGACTTGTTAACTGACTTGAGATCTCAGAGAACAAGTTTGAAACAGGAATTTTACTTTGTCATCAGAAGCACAAAGCAAGCAAATGTAATAGTATCTTATAAACCTACACCTTTTATGAATCATATTTTGAAGATGAATAAATAGGGAGTCAGATAGGGAAAAGAACTTGTCTAAGGTCTCACAGAAGGTTCGTAGCCCAGAGAGAGAGTTACCTGTGTCCAGCCGTGGTTCTCAAACTGACCTGGCAAATTTTTCTCCCCTTATTTGTTCTGCAGAGACCAAGGAGAAGAATGTGATGACATGAATAAGATCAATGGTGACGGCTGCTCCCTTTTCTGCCTACAAGAAGTTTCCTTCAATTGTATCGGTGAGTCTTTGTCAATTCTTAGGGTCTGGCTGGAGAAATGGACAGTGCAGCATAATTGATCAATTACAATACCAACAATAGTTATGCCTAAATGATGATTCACGCCTTTATATTATACATTTTTATTGAGTGCCTCTTATGTGCCAAGCACTGTTTTAGGCATCAGGAAATACAGCAATAAACAAACAAATAAAGCCCTCAAGCGCTCATTTTCTCATGGATGATGGCAATGACAGGTAGCATTTTTTGATCAAGGTTTACCTGACAAACATCATTGCATTTTTTCACAGCAGCCGTCTAAGATTGCTATTACTACAGATATTTAAACTTTTATTTTTACTTCAAAGATCAGAAAAATCAAAAGCCAGCAAAATTATAAAACTTGTCCAGAGTCATTCAGGTCAGAAGTGATGGAAGACAGAACTGCGACTTGAACCTGAGTTTGTCTGACTCTTAAGCGCGTACTCAGCTCATTTTGCTGCACAACTCCAACCAGGATCCGCGAGGATTCCTTCTGCAGATTCAGGACCTTGGGCAGTCTTTCTGATCTGAGGGAGGAGGAATAGCAGGCCAGTTTGTGTTTAGAAAGCAAACGTCCTTTTCCCACCTTTACCATCAGTTGGGAAATTTGTTTTCCTCTGCCTTCTCGCAGAGTCTGACTGATCTTGTTGTTTCAGCCCCACTTGGGAGGCCCAGGCCAGCCAGAGGCTGGTAAACAGACAGGGGTTGGGGGGCAGGGATGGAATTTTGAGCTGGCCCAGATGAGATCATACTTCCTTTAAGATGCAAATCGATACCTGAAGATCAAAGGTCCCCCAGCTAATCCCCTGGGCTGGAGGTGAAAACTAATCACAATCTATTTGCAAGTACAAAAGACAGAGGTGCTCTATCTGAAGAGGGAAGGGGTAGCTACAGAGGGGATGAAAACCTTGGTGGGAAGATTTCTCACTGAAAAGCAATTTTCTAGGAGGACTGAAGGGGGGCAGATATCATCGCATCCTCGCATCTGCAGTGCATTACAGGGATGCATTTAGACATTCTTTCTCCCAGTAAATTGTGAGCTCCATGAGGGTAAAGACAATGTATCATTTACCTCTTAATTATTGATACGTATTTATTGAGCACCTACTATCTCCTTGGCACCCAGTAGGGCCTGAGCAACACTATAGCGGTGCTCTGAAAATGTTTTTCGCTGGAAGAAAGGAAGACATGAGGCAAGAAAAATACGGGAGTTTCTAGGCAGAGCCTTGTGTTTTTAAATTGCAGAAATTTTTTTCTTTCCTCTGTTGATTTGAGTATGGTCCGTAGTAATAGCTTAATACTAGCCAGGTGGTGTGTCAGAAAGAACCTTGAACTAAAATTTGGAAAACCGGGTTCTGTTGCCAGCTGTGCTTAAAGCTTGTATAAAGCTGGCCAAGTTGCTTTCTAGCCTGGGCCTCAGTTTACCCTCTATACATCAAATAATTAGTGGTCTCTGAGAGCCTTTCTTGTACTTCTGGTGTATGACTTCTGAGTTGTATGACTGGATTTCTTCTTATCATAAGCTCTACTTAAACGAAACCGTCACCTTTATCATCATCTTAATGGCAGCCAACATTACTCCCAGACCATGCTGGAAAATATCTGCCTATTTTACTCACACTAATGTTGCTTATAACTTAAGTGCCTCTGGGAAAAAGGTAGGATGTGGTAAAGGCGCAGGATAACATACCCTAAAAGACATTGTTGAGCCTTGACATCCAGGTGCTATGTTGCTTTAGAACTGTGCAATGCTAAATAAAAATAAGACAATCCACAAAAGAGGTCTGCAAACTATGGCCTACAGGCCAGAACTGGCCTGCAACTTGTAATTGTACATAAAGTTTTACTGAAACACAGCCACACTCATTCATTTGCATATCGTTTGTGGCAGGTTTCATGATACAGTGGAAGATTTGAGTGATTGCAACCCTACGGCCCAAAGAACCTGTAATATTTACGATCTGGTGCTTTACCTAGCATAAGATATGGGGTATTTCATACTGCTGGTTGTTGGAACTGGTGCAGCATATTGGTAAAAATTATGATGCGGTTCACTATTTCTTAGGGGAAAAACAAAACCCAAAACAAAACCCAAAACTGCATTTAAGCATACAGTGGTGGGGATTAGGAGGCTCTGCTAGAAATAACAATGGACTGCAAGTCTAGCCCCAGAAAGACTCACTTTCCCATCGGTACTTTGGTCAAAATGACTGTTTAAGACTGGATCAGTGGTTTTCAAATTGTGTTCACCAAACTGTTTATTAGAAAAGAAATAAAGATGAAGGAGTTGCCAAGAGCATAAATCTTGGATCTTCATAGACCCATTTTGTAGACTGATATTCCCTACCAGATTCTAACTGTTTTGTTGTTGATGGTGATATTTACTAAACACTTATGTACCAAGCACATTTATAAACTCTTATTCTCATAATTCATTTCACTGCTTTTACAAAAGAAGAAGCTGAAGTGTGGGATGGTAAACTAAGAATATACAGTTAAGTGGGAACTAGGTTTTATGTTTTTTTTGTTTGGTTTTTTTTTTTTGAGTTGGAGTTTCACTCAGTCGCCCAGACTGGAGTGCAGTGGCACGCTCCCGGCCACCGCAGCCTCGACCTGCTGGGCTCTGGCGATTCTTCCGCCTCAGTCTTCCAGGTAGCTGGAACTACAGGCACGCGCTACCATGCCCGGCTAGTTTTTGATTTATTGTAGAGACGAGGTCTCGTCTCGCCAAGTTGCTCAGGCGGGTCTCAAGTTGCCCACTCACTTTGACCTCCCAAAGTGCTGGGATTGCAGGCTGAGCCAACCGAGCCCAGCCTGGAACTGGGTTTTGAACTCAGAGCATCTGACTTCAGAGCTCACTATGGCAAGCTTCCTGCAAAAAGATAGCTCCTGGTCTCACAGACTTTTGGGGTAAATGAGAAAAATATTGTTATAAAACCATTCATGTAACAAATTAGTAGAATAGAATGCAAAACTGTCAGTGGTGTGGACAGTGTCCAGGGACACTCTTATCCCTGAATATTGAGTGGGTTTATGTTAGATGCAAGCTTTCACCTATGCCCTTCACTAGCCATTTAGAATCCTATTATGGACACTCACAGAGACACAGGCATTCCAAGAGAAAGGAGTCTGTCCAGAGAAACCAGCTCCCAGGAATTAAATTCCAGGGACAAATTCCATAGCTTGAGTCTAGAAAACTATCTTCCTCTAAAAGAAGCATCCAAAAAACTAGACAGTGACTCCTTGCCTTCCAGCAGACTCGTCTTAAATGAGTCAGAGACCTGATACTGGAGTGTGGGAAGCTTTGTTGAGATGGACATTGTTTTCTTTATTACATTTGCTAAGACAATGGTCAAGATAGTGGCCAAGAAATCAGGTATACCATGGCTTAGATGATGATCTTGGCTGAGCCTGAGTGTTCTCATCCAGAAAATGGCATATATTCTAGAACCTAGCAATGGAAGATTTTTATCAATATCTTTGGATACTTACTGTCTGACTCTTCTTTCTAGACTTAGGGAATAATTCACCTCATGAGGCAGAGCCTAACCCCTACTATAGCAGTTAAAAATCCAACCACCTCATTCTCCTAGTTTTCTATGTAGCTTGAATGTGGTTACACTACCTAGGCTTTCCTCTACCCCCTAATCAGACACTCCAATCCAAGATGTTAATTAGAAGCTAGTGGTGATAAGACATAGGAATTCTGCAGAAATCATTTTGATGAGGATGGGGGAAGTGACTACACTTTATACCTGCTTTCAAAACACCAGGGACAGCATCTAGCATCAAAGTTGGAATGGCTATGCATAGCAACAGTTCTGGATCTCTTTATAAAACCAGTCCTGGGATCTGGTCCTGGACTTGGAAATAGACTTCAGAGCATACATGCCTGACTCTCCAGAGAATCATAATTTTGAATAGGTTTTATTGGTTGGTATTACTCAAGTTATCCAAAGTCAGTTGCTGTTGATTGTCATTTAAAATTTTGACTGAAAATTATTGTCATTAAATAGTATAAGATTTTGACTGAATTGTTGTCATCAGATACCATAAATTTTAGCCTCATTTTTGGCAAGTTGAATGTGCTTGATGCACAGTAGCTATTATTTTTTTTTTAGTGTGTATTTGTGTGGGAGGTGAGACTGGGGGTATTAGGAACAATCACTACCTAAAGCTACCTACCTGGTGATATGCTCGGTATTATGCATCTTTGTTTAATGTGAGTCTTTGAGAAGTCTCTTATTTTCACATGTATAATCTGAGACCTATTATGACATTTTAACGAGCCCAAGGTCATGCAGCACACAGAGGTGTGATTCTATCTCTATACTGAGGAGAAAACCCTGTTTTTTCCTACTTTGCCACTCCTTTTGAATTATTTCCTTTCTTTTTTCTTTTCTTTTCTTTTTTACCTTCTCCTTTTCTCTTCTCCTCCTTCTCCCATACTTCTTCCTCTCTCTTCTTCTCCTCTTCTTCTTCTCCGTATTCACCACCTCCTCCTCCTTCTCTTTCTTCAGCATTGATCATTTAGAAGGACTAATGTTTTCTCTGGATTGGTAACACCAGCGTTAGGGTGGGTAACAGATTTACGGTGACATTTTCATTCACTTTTCAGAAACCCACACATCCGGAAGCAGTCCCAAGGTGCCAATGTGTCATTGTGCAACACCGTTGGGACTTCCCTTTCCCACTTTCCCACCCCCAGTACATAATAAGTTGCTTGTTAAAACGAACACCACCCACAAGACCTCTTGGGCAATGCAGCCTGCTTCCCCTTGCAATACGAAAGTTATCTTGTCCTTTTCCCCTCTTTTAGAAAATATAACATTCACCAGGCCTGAGGTTCCAGTTAAAAAATGTGATATCAGTAAAATGATAACACCCCCCAACAGGCACTGGCTGGAGGCATTGTTTCACAGCGTTGGGATTTCTGTTTCTAAAGCACTGAGTCATAAACTACAGACAAGCTGCTGATA